CTCTTCTCCTTGCAAGAAAATAATTTTCTTGTTTAAGACTTGCATTCTATTTCTTGCTTGTGTTAATATCAACCATTGGTTCTCCCAATGTTTCTTGACAAATATCACATCATATGACACTTTTTTCCTGGTCGACTAAAGTACTTTAAAATGCAGGCATCCCAATGGTGAATTCACGAGAACATCACTACTACTGTTGCTAAGTCTTCCATTATATATTAGTGAGCACAGTCAGAATCAAAATACAGGCAACAAACTTGGATCCTATGTGTACCTTTGATGATCTGTGAGGATCTCGTTTCATTTGATTAAACAGACTAGGCAAGTATTCACTGTGGGCCTGTCCAGATTGGTGAATTTGGAGCAGTCTGGTTCACACGTAAAAGGTTCTTATCTTCAGTTTGATCTATTTTATCTTGCACTTGAGCAGTTCTTCTGTTCACACTGGAGATGTTTATTCTCCTGTGAGAAGGGTCCCCACAAGTCTTTGGACTGCCAGTTTACTTGTGAGTAAGGGGGAAGCGGCCGAGGATAGCAGCTGCACAAGGGTAGAACACTGGGGTGTAGGCTGAAAGACGGAAGGGAGCCAATGTTCCGTCTTATTTTCACCCCTGCTGGGCGGGGCTCCCCCTCGTGCATGCGACCCTGCAACCCCTCTCAGGGTTCTGCCACAACCAGAACCAAGGGGGCTGGAAATAATCACTGTGGATGTGTGGTGGGGGTTCAGCACTGTGCACCTGCACATTTTAGAGGGAACTTTGAAGGGAAGTAACCTCCCCCCCTTTCCCCTCAGCTGGGGCTGTGCTGCTTTGTGGGTGTGGAGCTCATGAAGTCGACATAGCTTCCTTCCATGCCTTTTCCCATGCCTGCTGATATATATATATATGTTTCACCCCTGCTGGGCGGGGCTCCCCCTCATGCATGCGACCCTGCAACACCTCTCAGGGTTCTGCCACAACCATATATATATCTTTTCACACCAATATATTACAGGGTTGCCTCCTCAGTTAATGCTGCCCACATCTTCATTTGGGTGCAAACTAGCCATCTGCAGAAGCTACACAACAGGATACTGTAATTAGGACTTGTGCCAACAAATCTATGTGGACGACGCAATTTGGCTCGAATCAAGCCGTACAAACAGTGATCCAAATACTGATCTATATACTTTTCTGGACAGGCTGTGTATCTCTCAAGGGCAATGAAGAGCACAGGTGTGTCAGTCTGTTGCCCACTTAATGAGAAAAAGGTGCAAAGAAAGAGCACATAATCATGTACTTACTGCCTTCATAATAGTACCGTGGTCCTATGCAAAGAAAGAGCACATAATCATGTACTTCAAAATACTGCCTTCATAATAGTACCGTGGTCCTGAATATTTACTGGAATCATGAACAATCTAGCAGATGCTTAGGAGACTGCTGTGACAACATTCCCATAGTGAAAGACATGTTACACCCTCAATTACAAGGGCTAGACGTTAGAATTTAGGGTGGAGATAGATGTAACATTTTAGCAATGGCAGAAGTATTTTGAATGCTCATTCAAAGCAGCAAACAACTTCCTACATACTTAAAACATACACAAATTTGCCGTACCAATCATGCAGGACCAGCCCTATCACTAGGCAACTGCCTCAGGCAGCAGATTTTCATTGTCACGAAAAGCAAGAAAACATTATTTACTTTGCTACTATCATATTTTGACTCCAGGAATGAGGAGAGGTGCTGCTGGGTATTTTTGCCTCATGGGGGACGGGGAGGGAGGCAATGTCATATTATATGATATTTGTCAGGAAACCTATCCTAACTCATGGGGGGGGAGTGGCCTGGGGAGCGAGGTCACAGCAGCAAGTAGAAACAGCCTTTTTTTTAGACTACAAAAGGTGAACAATTCTTTCCTTTCCCAAAAAGATTTGATCAAAGAAAGCACCACAGCACTAATCCTCCCCATTCCTTTCGGAGGCAGGTAGCCACAGTAGTCCTGGGGCAGTTTTCTTTAAAGAAAATAAAAGGTTACAGACTTCAACAGGAGGCATGCCAAGCTAAACTCTGCCTCCCCCCCCAAAAACAAATTTATTTATTTAAAATATTTTACCTCATCTTTCTCTTCAAAAAGGACCCAATACAAAGGGGGGGGAGGGGGGATAAATTTGACAAACTGGGAAAAGAAGGCAGTATGAAGCAAGATAAGAGAAATACCATCTGGATATAGTTCCTTTTTTGTAGGGACTATGCCTGAAAGGGAATTTAAGAGTACAAAAGCTCCATTTGGAAAAGGTCCATTCTATATGTGGCAAAAGGTTCTATCCCAGAGAGAAAAATACATACACTTATTCATTTGTAAAGGGTGAATTAGGAAATGGAATGCCCAAAGCAGCCCTTTGTCTATGCGTATGTCTTACAAATGATGCTAAGCATACTTTGTGCAGAATAGTCTAAAGCATGTCTATTCAAAATTAAGCTCCATGGAAATCACTGCATGTGCCTGAGAAGGTTAAATCAGTGCACGTGCCTGATGAGTTACAGTATAATCCTACTTCTGTGATCAGGCCAAGAAACATTTTTCTCCAATATTTTGGGGTGAGATATCTGCATTCATGAGTTGCTCTTAATCCTAGCCATACAGATTTACTTCAAAGCCCCATTTGTTCTGTAAGGTTTACTCCTACATCAATGCCTGCAGTTATCCGGATTTTCAGGCTTATTTGTTTTACATTTTGAAGTCTGGATTATTTGCATGATTTTGACATTACTATATGCAACAGCAGAAAACCAAGATTGGATACGGATTAGAAGAGTGTGAAAAAAATAAATCTGTTAGTCTTGAATGTGCCATGCTACTTTTTGTTTTTTATATTATATTTTTATTAAATTTGATTGCATAAAAAATAAAAACAAAATGGTGCACTTCTCACCGCAAGGACCATCCATTAATACAACACATAGATATATTTTGCAACGTTTCCTTCATCTTTTAAAAGACCCCTTATCCCTTTCAAAAATACATATATTCTTGACCTGGCTTCTGCCTTTTTCCTTTATTCAATACCGCATTTATAAATTCACCTCATATCTCATTAAATTTATATTATTCTTTACCACTCCTTAAAAAAAAACAACTTTATTTCAGATGTCAGTTTATTGTTAATCGCGATATTCCCGATTTCATGATACCGTTGTTACTTTTCGGTTTATGCTTGTACTGTGTATACCGTATGTGACGAGACAACCTACTCCGGCTCCCATTTCGGTCATAAATCCCCGGGTGCAACCTGCCCTTTGCTCAGAGGGATCCTGCCACCGATCGCTCGCCCTGTGGGTGCCTCTGAGCCATTCCTTCGCCACCTCTTTGGAAGCAATTTTTGCACTCCGCTGGCGACAGAGACCTCTCAGGAGTGGCGGAACAAGCAAACAAACGCGGGCCAGCCCCAACGCCACGCCGCTGCCTTGAACCGGCCCGCTTCAGTTTCGGTGGCGCTGCAAGGCTTGGGGACTTCTCCGCAACTGAACCACGAAGCGCCCGGGCCTTTCCACACCGCCTACCGCCTGCCCACCCCCCGGCTCGAGGCGGGCGCGCCACTTGCCCGTGGGCTCCCGGCCCTGCCCGCTGTCTCAGGCGAGCCTTTCCCAGCCGAAGCGAAGGGCCAGCGACGCCCCGGGTGGCCGGGCAGCGGGAACGACAAGGGGGGCGAGTACAGCCAGACGCTCGGCGCGACACGGGGCTCCGGAGGGGGCGCCGAAGCTGCCGTGCCAGAAGCCGGCTGGAGGAGGAAGAGGAGGAGGAGGAGGAGCGGGAGGATGGCGCCAGGCGCGGGAGACTCGGAGCAGGTTCGCTACTGCGCCCGCTTC